TTACATAAACTGTAATGCATTCATGTTTTACACAGAACTAAAGGGAATTATATGTTTAAACATTTGGCAAATCATGTTTTAATTCTCAAAATTGTTAACTTGATGAAATAGCCTCATGTACATAAGGAAGTTTTTGCTTTCTCAACCAATATACCAAAGGCGGTTTGATAGGGCATATATGGGTTTTCTTTTTGAAGTTACTGCAGCTGCAAGTATTGTACTACAACTGACCTCTCAAAGACTGCAGGGGTCCCAAAGGGAGTGGGATATATTTTTTAACTTCTTAAATTAGAGTTTCTAACAAACGTTCTCCCTCCACCTCATTTTGGAGACAGTGACTGAGACAGATATAGAAGATTACATACCAAAATGGAAGGTAAAAATGCAGTGCATAATATCAGTCCAATAATGCACCTCTATGCTACTCTTCAATTTCTGGAAAGAATCTTTTTTCATACAAGCCAGCCACAGATGCAGAAGTAGAATATTGCCCCTAACAAATACAAACTGTGCAATGTCACATACGCCTTCAGAGTACCCAGAGTTACTAGTTACTTCAGAACTTTTTTTTTTCTAAATCAGGGTTTAAATGTATCTTTATTACTGAAAAAAATGCAATGTTAAAACTAAGTAAAAATCTTCATTAAAGATCTATTTTATGAAAGATTTTAGTATTTGCTATTTTTATGTTAGCAAAACATAACAATTAAAAGATCACTCTAGATTATACCTAGAAAAGTCATGAAGTGCTTCAAAGTACTTCAAAATGCTTAACAATGTGCACGACAGTGCACATTGAACATGAAACTAGATAGATTATATAATTTTATAGATGCTTAAGGATTGTTCCATCCCTGGAGGCAAACCTCCCTCCTTCATGATAAGATAAATTTACATTTCATTAAATGTTCAAACTGGTTTGAAAATGCTTATCAAAGGTGACAGATTTTGCATTCCGAAGGAGCTGAGGTCCTCCTTTTCAAAATGATAGCATTTAATTAATTTATACATCCTTGTTAGCTTCCATTTCCATATTAATCTTATATCGAATGATTGGATCGTTTAGGTTGGAAAAGACCTTCAAGATCACCAAGTTCAACTCTTAACCCAGCACTGCCAAGTCCACCACTAAACCAGGTCTCTAAGTGCCAAATCTACACATCCTTTAGGTAACTCCACAGATAGTGACTCAACCACTGCACTGGGCAGCCTGTTCCAGTGCTTGACAACCCTTTCGGTGAAGGGTTGCCTAATATCCAGTCTAAACCTTCCCTAGTGCAACTTGAGGCTGCTTCCTTTTGTCCTATTGCTTCTTAGTTGGGACAAGAGACTGACCCCCAGCTCACTGCAACTTCCTTTTGGGTAGTTGTAGAGATACAGTCTAGGTAGACAACATTCACAGCCTTTCCCTCATCCAATAAGTATGTCACCTTATCATATGATTCAATTTTCCAAGTTTAAACTATCAGTCACCTTTCTGTCCCTAGTGCCACCCAGCACTCTCATGAGAAGCACCAGGGAAACCATTTTAGGGACTTCTTCTGTTTCACAGTCTAATAATTTGGCCAACATGAGAACTGCTTTGGTAAAAGAATCAAGTATTTATTGAAACGATTAATTCTCTTTCTCTTAATTAGGGGTTCTTGAGTCCAAGAAAACCAAGTCAGATCACTTCAGGAAGAATTTCTTGTAAGGAAGGAATCAAATGAAATGCCAAGGAAATCATTCAGAGCACCTACTTAAGTACAACTAGATAATGTAAACATCTCCATGTTTCCTGGTCTTTCTGTGAGACTTCCTTGGTCATGCCATTTATCTTAGCAATAAAGCCCAAATCCAAGGACTGTCCTTAACAGTCAGTAATGCTTCTGCATGCGCATTAAGAAAGTAAACTCTAATCTCAGCATTTAATACAGACGTATTATACACTCAGGAAATGGTCTGCAGAAGCAAGTGCGATCTGCAGTTCCTCTTGTAATTCATTCACAGCATACTGAATTTATAGGCTGTGTTAACTGTGTTAAGGCACTGTAGCTGTGGCATCATGATAAAGTACATTCTTCCAAAATGTGTGATAAATTGGGTAAGTGTAATAATGAAAGCAACGGAATTCAGAATGAAACACCTAGTGGGTTTGGTTGGGTTTGTTTTTTAATTCAGCTGAATTAATTGCAGTATAAGCGCAACGGAACCGGAGGTTTTGCAAAACTGTAAGGTTAGCTTTTAAAAGACATGTAATTAGCTTTTTGAGTTTGCTTCTAGGTTTGTCTCATCATACAGACTGGGATTCATTCTGCAGACTGTTGTCCTCCTCCCACCTAGGAGAATCTTGAGGGTTGCAGGAAGTAAAAAAAGACATTTCGCATGATTTAATTATGAGCCCTTTAGCTGCTGCATAATGCTGATGGAGTCCAGAAAAATGTGTCTTGTCTGCCTTAGGCAGCATAAAATGGGAACATGCTTGAGCTCAGAGGGGGAAAAAAGACACATGGAAAGACTGGAATAGGGAACGTGCACTTGACAAATGACCCAAGGTTGAGAAAATTAACTGGCAAAATATTGACACTTCCTCCTCTGAAAAACATGACATTGTCAGAAAAAAAAGCTTTCACTGTGCCTTTTGGGAAGAATGGGGGAAAAACCAACACAAAACACCAACACAAATACACCAACACAAAAAAAACAAACAAAGAAACAAACATAACAACAAAGAACCAAATACCCATTGTCAAAGCCTAATGGCCTTCTAAACCAATTGGGCTCCAGTTATTTGAATCACTATTGCTCTTGCCAGAAGCTGTATAATGATGCAATAGGGGTATATCATTAAGTGTCCCTCCACTGGAAGAAATACATCATGGTTCTCTCCAATTTCCATTCCTGAATTTAACTTGATGTTACTCCCCTTTTATAATCATGGCAGTGACGAAGGGTAAGGCCCATTTATCTAACCCCCCAATCCCTTAGAAAGTCAGAACAAAGAATGACTCGTGAAGGCTGTAGTTTTTAAGGTGAAGGACTCTTAAGTTTTTTACAAATATAGGGGCTGATCCTGTTCCCAATGGAGTCTACAGGAGTTAGATTTGTGAACAGGAAGCTTCTCTCAATGAGTCTTAGCTGTCTTCAGATTCTTCAGCCGTCCAGTGCTCTTGGCTATTCTTTCCAGGACTAGCTAGAGGTGAAAATTCTCATGCATTGTAGCACATAAACAAGTAATGGGGTCTGATCCCACCAAATGGTATGAACTTCTAATAAGCATGCCCCAGTTTTGGGTATTGATTAATTTTGCAGACCTAAACTCCCTTTTTTGTTTTTGTGGGGATTGGTTTTTTTTGTTAGTATCTTGACTTCCACCTTAGGAGGAGTTAGATGAAATTTATAAACTATGAGTGAGATAGAAGCCTGGCTTAGTTACGATGAACAGAATACATCAGCTGAGTCAGTGCTAAGTAATCCCGCTACAGTCAGGAAAAAGCATTACAAGTCTCTTTCTGTTAATCAGATGGGGAGCACAAGGAGGCAAGTGAAATATTGTTTACTCAAAACGTCCATTCCCTCACAGTGTATCAAGCCACTACTGTGAGTGTATTGCCAGATGTCACACACAAAATTCCACCTCCTTCAGACAGGACAAAGAAATGGAGTATGAACCTAGGGAAAACTGCCCTGTTTTCTGTTGCACAAATCTAAGGGTATTAGGTTCAAAGACTTGTCTTTGATTATCTTGACATGTAACTAGTGAGGCTTCTAATCTTGATATTCCTGTGCATTTTTTTGTAGAAAAGATGCTTCCCCATCTCTGAAAGAACAGAAAGACAAAAGCAGCTTTGCTGGTAGAATGTCTCCTAGAATGGCAGAATCATATTTCAGGAATATCAAATCACCCTGCTTTTCCATCATGAGCCTTAAGATTTCTAAATTCAAACAAGTTAGAATTTAGATCACAAACTACGCTCTAAACAGTGATTTGATGAAATGCAGGAACCCTGTGAAAGACTGTATTTTTCTTAAAATATGGCAGGAGTATTTGTTTTGAGTACAAAACAATATTGTTGAAAAAATGGATGGCTTTGCAGAGATTTTTCCAGAAGTAAAATTCGTGAGGGAGCATCAATATCTTTTAAGCCCTGTTTAAATTTCAGGTGAATGTTATACTTGTGTTTTGTTGTAGCAAACATCACATAGAACACGAATAATTTTATTTACATTAAATAAAAATTCTCTTAGACTGAAATGAACTTATTTCATATCAATCTGAAGCTATTCACTGTATATGCAGAAGTGTAGCAAAATATAAAATCCAGATTGTGGTCCAGCTAGAAAAAAATATGACTTGTAGGGATTAATAGAGAGAGAAACAGCAAGTCTTTAATTTCTATAGCTGACATGTCAAAGCAAACCTATAAAAGAAAGTATCAGGACAAGTACTGCTTGTGTAGTACACCAATAAAGTGAAAACTGCCCATGAATAAGTCAATAAACTGCGACTGCAGCCTGTCAGAAACACGAGCATACTGGCACACTCTCTGATGTTAAAGACAGTGTTCATAACCAAGACTTACACGGATTGTGTTTGCCACTGATTTTGCAAGTGCTTTTGCATAGGAAAACCATATTTATAAAATAAGTTAAAAGATTAACACTATTTGTTCAGGTCTGTCCCAGATACCTTTGTATGGCTAAAGCTTAAAAACCAAATATTCAATACCTGAAAAAAAAAAAAAAAAAGACAAGTACATTACCGTCTGAAATACATTTCAGGCAAATAATTCTTCAGGTACTTTTCTTGAATTGTCTGCATAACCACAGAGTTCATAAAACAACTAAATGATGATGTATGCATGCTAACTTCCCTGGCAGTAGTTGTTATGCCAAAGAAAACTTATTTACTGATTGCAGACACCCACACAATAACATAAGGATTTTTTTTATTGCATGAACCAATCAATCAATCAGAAGCACAGATGGCGAATGGTGAAAACAGAAAATACAATGTTCATTTTTCTTTTATTTCTAAGGTGAATATCTAAGCTATATCGTTGTCACTGAGAAGTGGGTCTCTGCTCTGAAATGTAGAACAAAATAATGTGGGTTGACCCAGAAATTGTACAGTTTCTGTGGTTATAGAGGTAAAATCGTGCTGCAAACACGAGGCAACAGAACATAAATTACTACTTGGCTTATGTGTTTGTCTCTAGAATCACAAAGAATTCAAAAAATGTAAATATTAATTCTGAAAATCAGATCAACATCAAAAAAAACCCCTAAATCTGTAGCACAATTTCAGTACACAAAAGCTCTACTTAATACATGGCAACTACAGTGAACTTGTAAAGAGTAAATATCACATCAATATTCCCAGCACCAGCTCAGTAACTTCACGGCTAATCTATTGTTTTATTTATGAATATTACAGTTCAAGCTTGCTCAAGTTCCACAAGGACTCCATGGCAATCTTTAGGGTGAAGAAAAATCACAGGTTTGCCATGTGCACCTATTTTTGGCTCTTCACTCAATATTCGTATCTTATTTTTCTTCAGTTCTGTCATAGCCACTTTTATGTCATCAACCTTATAAAAGAAAAATACAGTTCAGACAAATTAACATGTTACACTGTATTATGCAGATTCTACAATTAGGAACAATAGCGTAATTCCTTACTAAAATGTTATTTCTAAATTCTAATATAATTATGAAAATAAATTAAATTATAAAAGTTTGAAAACATATAGTCTTAAAAAACCTACAGAAGTTTTCATTTGTTTGAAGATTTTATAAAATATTGTTTAAATAGAATGTGCTATATTTAAGAAATTATTAAATGAAGAAGCACTCATGCACAAAGCCCACTGGTTATTTTATATTGTTACTTTATACGGACTCCATAAATAATCTGAAGTCTGCATTACTATTACCAAGATCATACTGCTTTCAAACTATCAATAACTAAAGAATGCCTCTCTGTCTAATTGATGACAGAACTCATTAGATGCTGGTAAAACGGAGGGCAATAGGCAGAAGGTAAAAGGAAAACCTCTTTTAGATCTATCTATCTTCCTTCTGAGTAGGTTAAGCTTCATAAAGGTTACTAAGAAAGCCTCAGAATTATAAGAAACATACCCAGAATATGACCTGTTTTCCTATTGAGCTCAATTATAATCATAGCTTTTAACATATTTCAGTACAGTTTCCTGCAGAAATGTGTAATTAACAAAACCATGTCTATGCGGCGTAATGTGATCTTAAGTCTGCTGTCATGTCATCAGATGAAATTTGAATTTTCCCAAACCATAAATGCATTCATTCTTTGAAATAATAAAATTAGCACTTGGTTTAGCAAATCCAAGATTCAATAACCAATAACAACCTCGAATTAAAATAATAGCATTGCTATTTTCCAAGACTGAGGCATCTTGGACATAACTTGGTGAATAAGCTTGCATGATGCCATTGTAGGGAAGAAGGAAATACCTAGCTTTAATTCAGAGGAACAGACATCAGTTAATTCCTACTCATTTGCAGCAGTTCTGTTCATGAAAATTCTGAACTTGCTACAGTTCTTCCTACACAGAACTACCAGTCTGCTAAAAAAAAAAGTGACTGTCAAGTTTCATCTAAAATAAACCAGCACGTCATGTGTGCCACAGCCCCCTCCAGCTTGTTTCCCCAAGCAGAAAAGCTACTGCAGCTGCTGCTCCTGTCTTGCAGAGATGGCCAGAACTATGTCTGGGCTCAGCTGGAATGAATCACTGCATCCTGAGGAAGCAGTGAGAGTAAACAGTGGAAAGCCTGTTGATGCATCCATGGTAGGACAGTAACACAATCAGATTTCTCTCTTATTCTACAAGAGCCCATCATGCTTTCATTACAGGTACTAAATTCAATTATGGCTGGTCAGGAATAATCTAATTTCTTCTTAGAATGCTTATTTTGTCCGAAACACCCTAGCAAAACCTCTGTCTGAAATTTTTCTTTGAATAGTAAGAGAGAAGGAAGAAACAAAAAGCACATTTTGATAAACTTCTCAGGCTTCCTCTCCAGTACGGAAAGAGTTTTTACAATTCAGCTTTTTGCAATAATATTGTTCATAGAGAGATAGTTCTACAAAATATTTCTTTTATTTCAGAGGAACAATCAATTAACACTGAAGTTATTTTATAGTTTTTCTGAAAACTATTTTTGCTCAGCTTCAGAAGATGACATATCTTTGAAATTGTAAGATTTTCCATTCTGAGAAGAACAGAAAATTGGAGGAGGGAGGTTAATAACTTTTTGATCGACTACGGTAGTGGTTTTCAGTCCCACTTAAACAGCAGGTCAACAATGGATAGCTTTCTTCTCTATGTAAATTAGTCTATAATCTTCCATTTGTTTTTACATGGAGACAAACATAAGAGACTTAGGACAATCTTCCCCTCTCCAGCCTGATAATCTATTAGTGATTTACAAGACTTCATTTAGGAAAATATGGCTGCAAGCAGCACTAGCTCACCCCATTAATAGAAATGAACTGCTAGATTATGACTCCTGGCTTGCTTGACCTACTGTATACAGTTATAAATTTTCTTTTTTAACACAACACTTATATGTTGTCCAACCTGGTATAATTAACATGTTCCATTCTTCTCAAGTTTCATAACTAGCTGTATGACCTCCCTTGACAGCCATCTTTGGTTTATATGCAACAAGATCATCTCTCATACAAGATGGAGATCTACATAGAACTATTTCAGCTGTAAAAAATATTTCTTGAAACATCTTAAAAGGGATTGCATATATTTGAAAGTCTTGGGAGTCTTGAGCCAGTTTTGCTGAGAAACGCCTACAAGTTCTTTCTCTGTACCTGTAAATCAGTCCACTGGTTTTACAGAGGACTGGAGGGGTTTCTTTGGCTTCTTTCTTTGCCACTTGCTTCTTTCTTCTATATTCCCCATTTCCTAAGTTCAGCTGAGGTCGAAACATTTCTATAGCAGACCTGCCTAGCAATATAATTTAGGGTCGATTTAAACAGAATTAATTTTCTTATTCTTGACTATCTGCAAATAGTCAAACAATGTAAGAAAATCTGTGGTGCCTGTGTGTATGCAAAATTTATCAGTTCTCAAAGAAAGCATGCAACTGCAAACACTGGTCATCATAGATGTGTTCTGAAAACAATTTTTACATCAATAATCCCATTACTTTTTATTATTACACTTTGCATGAAATAATAAAGTTTGCAAGACTCAGATCTGTAAAATATTAAAAACATACATCATAGGCAGCAGCATGAAACTGCATCAAACATCTACACTAAAGTATACTTGTAAGATAAGTACTTTACCAGCACCTTTACATCTTGTGTACTTCCAGACCAATCTCTCTGATGGACAAGGAAGAACAGAACAGAAGGAACTCGGGCGACTTTACTGCTGTTTGGTAAGTACAACTGTCAATCTTTCTTGACTTCTGTATAAAATTATCAACTAAATATCACCCAGAAAGAAACTTCTGAAAATCTAGATCTATGCCTTAGCTTAAACTTAAAAATGCATCTTTTTCCAGTGTGTCCTTTCTACATCAGGAAGTTCACACCTGTCAAAGACTCTTCACAAGCCCTTGGGCTTGTCCACCTTCCACACTGGATGTTTATCCCTCCTCTCCCCAGTTTAATCTTTATAGCCTAAGAGAGGAAAAAAATATCACATAGCTCATGTGGTTTCCAAAATGGAAAAAAAGTAATATTTAAGACTTCTTATGCTATATAAATTCTCATAAATATGACAGTTTTATGTATTTGTTCTTGACAGATCTTGACAGGTCAAACTTATGAAAAAATTAGGCATATATATCTCTATCTTATTGCATGATACATTGTGTTAAAATACCTCAATGCAGATATGATGCATTCCTCCAATCTTGTTTTTTTGCAGAAAGCTTGCAATGGGACTCTCTTCTCCTAAAGGATGTAGAAGTTCCAGCTTGGTATTTCCCAGCTCCACAAAAACAGTGTAGACACCATGTTCAGGAAGAGCAACAGTGTCGCTAACCTGTGCTCCTAACACATCTTTATACAAGGACTGAGCTTTCTCCAGATCAGGTACTGCAATTGCTACGTGATTAAGTCGGCCCAGTTTCCACAAACAGCTTGGAATGTTTTGAGAATAGGAACTGGATGGTAATAGAGTTCGTGTTGTGGTAGCTGAAGTCTGTAATCTGGTAAGAAGCCCTGAAAAAAAGCGAATAGCACAGATACAATGTTTTTGAGAAAGTATCGATATCTACTCTATCTTACTGAGACCTGTGTAACTCCTATGCCATAAGCACACCAGTGTGCAAAGCTGAGACCATGGACAGAATTTTACTGTAATACTAACAGTTCAATTAATTATTTTTTTTCAGAGACTATGAAATGATTCTGAAGTATAAAAAACAAAACTAAAACCAAACACAAATTTGATGTAAATGCTTACACATGCCTGTTAAAAAGAGGAATACATGGCCAAATGTGATGTTCAACTGTATAATGTACTTAAAAGTGACTTCTGGTTTCTTCAGAAACTCTTACAAAATAGAGAAAGAACTGATGTATGCCTATACATCTAGAAATCATAACAAATAAATAATAAAACCTAGACAAAACCTTGGACAGAAGTGATACTGCAAGATCTAGAAGGTAAAGAAGGGACCTGAGTTCTCAGCTGTCAGAATTAACTCTAGCAAGGAAAGAAATGTCATGTTGCAGCTGAAGCTTAAGGAATCCAAAAATCTCCCAATTTCTTACTTCCTCTTTCTCAGATGATTAAGTCAAGTCATTTGCCCTTCTTACCTTTCAGGTGCCATACAGGTCTTATACTTTGTTTCACTGATCTGTTTCAAGATGCTTAGAAATATTTCAGTTCCAAGTACTGTGAACAATATCGTGGCCAACTGACCAATAATAATATTGAAGATCACCTGTAAAGGTTAAAATCATAATAGCTATTTAAATGTAACAAGTGCCACTGACTACAGTGTGACTTACAAAAGAAAAAGAATATGATTTGGCTCATGGTAAACAAAAACCTAATTATAAATAATACTGGATGACCATATGACACAAATGTAAGGGCTAACATGTACACTAAAGATGGAGAAGTTACGGGGAAACTCGGTGTCGTGAAAACCTACTCAGATATCTCCAGAACTCTTCCCTGACTGCTCTGACAAGGCAGTACTGAACTTCGTACTATCTGTGTCAAATTGCTGTGTTGCTCACAAATAGTTCTAGGGTTCCTTGTTAGAAAAAAAAACAAACATCGCTGAGAAAAAGATCTAAAATGAGGATACTTACAAATTAATTACATTAAAAACTAATCTGTCAGAGTACTAGAATATGGAGAGGTTAGGGGAGAAATTGTGATCATATCAGTTGTTTCTAGCACCAGAATTAGAATTAGATAAAGGGATACATTCATAAAAATTGCATTTTAATTTCATGCCAGTTTGCTTTAGGCCATGTCAGAGTTCCCAGTGCCTCAAGACCAAGCTAGAGGCATCTCAGCATTTTTGGAAGACTTTGAGTCATTCTTAGCTTTAAAGTCACAAACGTGCTATTTTGCTAAGAGATTGTGCCAAGGATGCACTGAGATTCTGGCTGCTTTGCAATATAGTGAGGATAGCCTGGCTTGCATTTTCCCAGACTCTTTGTACTCTGTAAGGTTAGTAGTAATTGTAAGGTTATCAGTAGCTGTAATTAATCTGCTAGCTTCACTGAATGAAATTGAGAACTGCCACTTCACAGGAATTCAAGACTCCACAACCATCAGTTAAGACAACTAATGCAGTCCTTGAATTTAAGCCTTTCTGAGCATTGTGCTGTGATGGAGGAAGAAGTGCTTGTGTGTATTTGAGACTCGAAATTGCAACTGCAATGTACGTACTTCCAAAGACGTAGTACCACAAAGGTAAGTCTCTTCAGAATCTTTTGGTAATACTAAATCAACATTTCTTTAAGTATTTCCAGAAACTTGCCCAGTTCTGCAAGTGACTGCCCCGGAGTATTTTTTGTCAGCCTTCCCACAGTACATCCTTTCATCTCCTTCATTACAGACAGAAGTTCTACGGGATTCTTTTTCACTGGTTACCTTTAGGCTATCATACTGGCACAGTAAAGCAATATTTCCAAGTACTTGTCAACTTTTTAATACTCTAGCACCTTCTACACAGAAAACCTGATTCAATTCTTGCTGAAGCAAGAGATTCTCTTCCACCTACAGGTCTGTATTCTCCAAAACAGAAATATCCTTTGAAAGATAAAGATCACTTACTATATCATTTATTGTGTTTCCTACAGCCTTATATTATTTCATTCCTTCTAAATATTAACAGACCACAGTTCAGTGGCAATGACTACTAATACAGATTTTTCAGGCAATCTGTATGGATGGGAAAGGCTAGGATTCCTCCCATATTTTCTCCCATCTGTAATTCTTGCTGTACTTCACACAGGGTGTATGACTACATGGCTATTATATTTTAATTTACATTTTGTCTATTTTCAAGTAAATTGACAGAAATTAGAGACACAGACTGTTCCTCAGTTATTACTGAAGCAAGAGCTAAAAGAATAGAAAATGCTACTTCTGTTGTGTTCTGACTAAGAAATGTTTGATTCTTGCAGTATGGTATCCTGGAAAGATAATAGACTGAAAAAGTGAAGTATATTTCTAGAATTCTTATAAAGTCAAAGATACTGAAATGCCCACCCATACGACAATATTACTTTATGTATCTATTTCCTCCTCTCACTTAGTTATGGATTGGGTGGTAGAACTCTATATATTTTTCCTCTGAGTATGTAGGGGCAGTGGAATTTTCTGCAGGTTTAGTGGGGGTTTTTTTACTTTATTCTAGAAGTCTTGTGAATTTACCCTAGCTCTAGTCATATGTATATAGAGCTTTCATTTTAAACCCATAATTACCAGTATGAATTGTCTGAGATTAAACAAAAACCATTTGTGCTTTTCTTGTATTATATAGATTAGTAACTATTATAGGTTAGTTACTTAAAATTCTCATCTTCTTCTAACCCAGTAATCAAAAGATGACTGCAGTGAAAAAGAAAGCTTTTCAGAAAACTTCAGATGGAAACCCTATCACTTCCGTGTTTCAGGAAGCATATATGCATTTATATTTACGCATATATCAAAAAACTAATCCTGTTAACTGTTGTGGCTAAATTCTTCAATCACAAAAGTATTTCTCCACTGACTTACAGAATTATTCAAGTAATTCTTAACTTTCTCCAACGTTAAAAAAAATACTTTCTCTGCTTCTTTTGAAGCAAGTGAATATTCTGACTAACACATCTATCCAAGTATGTGCCCTGCTTGAAAAACTTGCATATGCTGACCAAATTCACACATGCAGTGGCTTCTTCAGGTATATACAGCATTTGCCCTACTTGGGTTTTTTTAAGAACTTCTTTTTCAAACACTGACAGCCAAATCTGAATTTGTCCTTTTGAGAAGGTTCAGCTGACCCTACTCTCATATGCAATTGCTGGCTTCCTAGTCTCAGTGATACTGCAGAATGTATGTCACCTTCTTCAGCTTCATTTGAAGTATATTTTTAAATTAATTTATTTGGGTTTTATTCTATTAATGGTTTACTGATCTACTAATATTATGCACATCAGTCTAAACATGCACAGTTGTACCAGTGGAGGTTTACATTCTGTAACAGAGCAGATTATGAACGTGAAGTAACAAATCTGACGTACCCCATAAAATGAGATCCTCTTCCTTCAAATGTTTATTCATAGGCTTTTGCTCCTATATGGGGCAGTGATCATTGACTTACTTGGCTAAGTCATGAAACACAAGCCAAATCCAACTGCATTCATGTTCTCTATGGGGAGGTTATACAACTGTGGGTCACAGTAAGAAGAACCTTGTCACTGGGCACTGCTCTGTTGTCAGCCACTTCAGGTTGAGAAAAACTGCCAGGCATAAAGAGGCTGTTCTTGTCATAGGGAATCCGGCATATGGGAGCTGTGTGCCCATTCTTAAACCCCAACAATTTCAAGGTGGCATGAGCATCTTGGAAATTTGGTCAGCCAACAAGGCTTAGACCATCCAAAGTGCTCTGTGCAGATGTTTTTTTGGGAATTGTATGGGTTCCATAGTTCCTAGAAACTGAGTGTCACTTTACTGCAGCCCTGGTTTCTTCCATCAAAGTGTAATTATACAAAGGTGTTTTCATTCCTGGTATCCCACAGATCCTTTACTGAAGCACAGACTCTCTCATTCACTTTTCTCCCAAAGTCTACTGAGTAAAATGGTGTGGTTTAGATACAGTAAGTTTAACCTGCCCTTACTTACTCTTGTGAGAGCTAACAGCCTAGATAATTATAATGAACAGGATATGATTCTGCATTTGACCTCCAGGTTGTAGTAAATAACTGAATGGGAAATTTTGCTTCAGCTAACACAATTAATTTGTTTAATGTTCATAAGTTTGGCAATATTAATGTGTGTTAGGGTACAGTGTTTTATGTGGGTATGTAAGCAAACCAGCAGCCTAGGGAGGGGAGTAGTTTCTGGTAATCTAGTCTAGCTGATCCTGAGTGTAAGAGCAGCATAACACTTGCTGAAACAACAGAAGGAAGCCATTGATAAGACCAGTTTCAGCTGATCCTGCAGTTACAGAAGCAATCAATTGGGCAAGAGGTGACAAGGGCATCATGAGGAAGACTTCTTATTTCATCCCAGAGACCCCAGCCCAGGACCACCAGAGAGCAATGTGCAAGCGCCGAAAGGAGGAGACTTAGGATAAGAAGTTCCTGGAACTAATTGTAATACAGGCCGCCTGTCCTTGGAAAAACTACGAATATGTAACAATATGGGAGATAAAACAGACCCTTTGGAGAGCCACAGTGGAGCCACAGAGGAGGAAAACCCTGTGAAGCTCCCAGCGCTGTAAATAAAACATTCTTTGCTCCACAGACTTTGTCCCTGGCTAAAATTGAAGAAGTGAGCTTGTTTCTCACAAGGTTGTACCTTAAAAAAGACAAGGTGTTCCTTGTGCCTGAAGTATTAAGCTTGGAGTTTGCCACATAAGCCTATTCTACGCCTGAGGATGGCAGTTGTTAACGTGTCTGTCACCTGGATCATGAGGCTTTGTTTTCACTTATCAAAGCAGTTCTGGTTTGTCGCGGCCTGTAAGGCTGTCACCGGGAGCCTCGGA